ATGACAACCAAAAAACACAAACCCCATTGAAACATATTTGTTTTGGTCATTGCTTTCGAAGAATAATCAATTGAATGCATCTAAGTAAGCAAAGGAGAAAATCAAGTAAATTTTTTACTTGGAATGGAAATAAAACTAAAAAGCATAAATAAGTAAATAACTTACCTTGAAGTATTTAGAGAGAAAAGTTGGTGGCAAAAAAAGCACTTGCTGGACTCATAGGAGAAAAACAAAAAAGGCTGAGTGGACGCAACGGTGACTTGATAAGATTAAGATCTAAGTCTGAGATAATGTTAAAAACTAAAGAGAAAAGGTGGAGTCGAATCTTGAAAGTCAAAAGTTGTATGGACTATGGAGGTTGAAGAATATGAAAAGAGTTTGAAGTTTGAAGAGTTAGAGTCTTCGAGAGTATTAGGGCAAGCAAGAATAGGAAAGGTCGGGAGGTGAGTTATGAGTGGAGTGAGATTATTTTTACTTCTAGAAAATGATGAGTCAAGAGAATCAATTAGTTAATTAGGAAATATTAGTCAATTATTAGAGGTTTAGGTGGGATTGGGAATTGGAAAACAAAATAAATAAATAATAAATTAAAATAAAATAAAATAATATTAATAATTGAGAGTATAACAATAATATTATCTTGTTTTTAGCTTTAAAATTTTTATTTTTATTTTCAATTATATGAAGTTAAGATGAAGATCCACCTAAAATAACTTGAGAAATATTAATCTTGAAATATGTATAAATTGTAATTAAGAGTTTAAATTATAAAATTATATTAGAAAAAAAGGAAAAATCATGACATCTTGATATTAAAAATGTCAAAATATTTAATCACAATCATTAAATGCACGGGGTACAATATAAGTCCTAACTTTATTAAATTTATCATGTAACTGTTATTAGATATAATGATATTTTTAATGTCAAAATATCTTAATTTTTTTCTCAATTATATTAATAGATAAACATATGAAAATAGTCAGTTTAAAAGTATAGTGTGCATATAATTAAAGAAGGATTTTTTTATTCTGTGCTCTTACGGTACAAAATAATCGTGTATTTATTGTATTTTTTTATTATTAATACATATAATAAAATTAAAAATTAATATTAATTTTATTAATTATCTAATAAAAAATATTTATGTGTCATAAATGTTAAAAATAATGTTAGTTTTTTTTTTTTTATGAAAATAAATATATAATTAATAATAAAAAAAATATAATAAATACATCTTTATACTCTACCATAAATGCACGGGATAAAAAAATCAATTAAAAAAAAGGAAGTAAAAACACCATTACATGGTAATGATATTCCCTCACAAAGTCACACATCTCTGACTTTGGCTCTTGTAATGTGATTGGAGCGCAGTTTAGCTTCTGTTACCTCTTCGTTGGATACTGAGTTGGGATCGTAAACATCGAATTTTGCTTATATATGCAAGCTTTACTTTATGTCTCGCTTGAGGGAATAGAATAGAAGGGAGGAGAAGGGAAGAAGGAGAAAATTTTTCTTTTCCTCTCATTTCCTTTTAAACAAATAATTTAATTTAAAAAACAAAATAAAAGCAAATTTTTTTTCTTCCCCCCTTTCTTTCAATTTTTAAAAAATATTTTTTTTTCTTTATCCTTCGCATACCTTTATTTTCATCGATTTAAATATATTATTAAAGTATTTATTTATAATTCTATAGTGAGATTTCATTAACCACAAAACATTAATCCTAAATTAAGTAAAAACTAACTCAAAAATATTGCGATGGTATATAAAAAAAATTAAAAATATATCCTAAGATTCTGTCGTATGTAAGATTATTATAAAATTGGAGGTAAATTATTTTTTTATTTGTTATTCATTCTCTATTAACTATTAAGTAATAACACACAACTCTAGGCTCCAGCTTGCTCAGAACTCATGAGCTAGCATGCAGACAATATCTGAGACAGAAGTACCATCTTCTAAGGTAACTTTCAGATCACAAAAGGCTGTAACCCTGCGATTTGAATCATCACCATCATCACTGATATTAGACATTAATTTTCCCTATTCATCCTATGTATGTACTATGTACTCTTCTTTATTTCGTGCAATTTCTTTATTTTAAAAACATAAGATACCTGTATCAACTTTTTGTGCTTATTAATTTATTTTTAAATTTTAATATTTGAATTCATCTAGTTAAGAATTTAATTTTTATTAATTATTTAAAAAAGTTTTATAAATTTTATTTTTTCATGTATAAAAAATATATATACATATAAAATACCTAATTGAAAAAAGACCTAACTAAGAAAGAGAGAGAAATTAACCTTAAAAATATATTAATAATTAAATTCAAAGAACATATATATAATTAATAATTAAGGAAGAACATGAACAAGAGACCCATGATGATTTTTCGGTTATCAACCCTGTTCAAATCCACCTTAATAAGCTCTCTAAACATCAATCCCATGCTATTTCTCTTCTATATATGTTTTATTGAATTTCTCATTCTCACACATTTATGATCTCGCTCTACTTGAGCCAGCTAGCTAGCTGACATTATACTAAAAACTAAGAAAAATTAATATGCAATAAGGTGTCCTTCAGCCATGGACGAGGCCATAAGATAGAGCCATGAGTAAGATCGCAGCTTCCTTCTCATCTTGTGGGAAAACTCCATGAAAAGCAGAGTATTTCTGGCTCAAGATTATCCTCAATTCCTCAAAGCAAAGCTTCTTTCTGCCTTGATTGGCGGGGCTTGTCATGTGCTTGCACTTTTTCTTGAAACCATTACTTGATCTCTTGTGTTGTAGCTTACCCTTCGTAGGTGTTGGCTCAGCAGCAACAATTGTACCATTTGCAACAGCTGCCGCCGCGGCCGCCGCTGCCATAGCTCGCCGTGCTTTTCTCTGTCGAATTCCACAAGCGTTGCAAAGGGACTAAAACAACAACAGTAAAAATAATAATTCAGTTGATACACACTAATTTTAATTATTTAAATATAAAGAAGAAGTTGACCCTTTTTTTCTATTTTTCTTTTTATCTTAATTATTATAAAAATGTGAAAGAAGCATACCTTGGGACCTCTAGGCCCACTCCTCCAAAGAGGAGTCTTGGTGGTGTTGCAATCAGCACAAACCCTAATTGTGTTATTGATGTTGTTGTGGGAAGAGCTGCTGCTGTTATCAGTTTCAACAGGTGATGAGGGTTTCTGATCTTCATATTTCTGCCCGTGATCCGAGCTCTTCATCATCTTCCTCATCAACCTCATCTTAGAAGACATCCATTTCACAGAACCATGATCACTTTGATCATTGTTCTCCTTCTTCTTATCTTCTTCCTTCCAAATAGAAAACTTGAGGGTGCTTTCATTACATGATCTACCTTCCTCAACTGATATTTTGGCCTGAAAGTAAATTAATCAATAGAGTTATATATAAGTCAGGATCACACAATAAAATATGAAAATTTTGAAGATAATTAAGCTGTTGTATCAATCAAAAGAAAGAAAGAAAAAAAAAAAAAAAATATATATATATATATATATATATATATCAAGAAGTTGAATTAAACATATGGAGATTACACTCACAAGAGCTTATTAACCAAGTTAGTATCACTAACTATATATAAAATCTTTGTTTCAAGGGATAATGATTTCTAACCTTCACAATAATATTAACCATACTGATACCTGAATTACCTCTTGATCTTGTAATTGCTGGGATTGTTGAACAAAATTTCCTCCATGATCTTGAGATGGGTTGGAGAGAGAAGGACATGAGAGAGAAGATGATGATGATGAAGAAGCTTGTGATTTCAAACTGAAAATCATGTCATGGTGGGTTTGATCTTCATTGAGGTCTATAAGAAAAGGAGGATTCCTTGAAGAGTGACAATCTAGAGAAGTCATCATGGGGATGGAGATAAAGAGATCAAGAGATCAAGAGTGATCTAGTTTTTGTCTAGTAAAACTAGAGAAGATTTTGGGATTAGAGAGATAAAGAGGAAGCCAATGATGGGAGAAGAAGCATAAAGGCCCTAAGCTAAAGACTAATTAATCCCTTTTTAAAGGAGAGAGAGGGAGAGCAGCAATCACACAGAGATATAAGGTTCACGTGACTTCATATAGCCCAAGCAAAACAATCTAAAGAAGACAAAGGAAGAAGAGGTGTGGAGTGCTACTGCCTTGATCCCATTCATGAAATATAAAACCCTATCTGCAAAGTATTTTTACCCCACAAACCAGACCCTAGACCCTTTTGTTGAAAATCAATCAGATAAAAGATTTCATGGTAGCCACACAAATTTAATCATTATTCATGCTTGATGACACTACGAACATATATATATATAGTCATGGAGTTAATTATTTCATTATGTGAGGAAGTTATTATAATTAGTGCATTTAGCTATTATTTTGGTTAAGGGTTTAAATTTCTAACTTTTTAACTTCAAAATTATATATACAAGAATTTGGTTAAACTCTAGTTGGTGCGGGGAAGAAAAAAACATTTGATATAGGCTAGGTGATGGTATATTGGTAGCATAGTGTGTATATATATATATACACACACATTATCTCTTTCTATGTTTGTAAGTAGTAAATATCTTTTTGCTTGGGTTGTGGATTATACAGCATGGAGCAGATAAGAAGAGAGGTGGGTGGGGATAGAAAATTTGACCGTGAACATTTCCCTCTACCTTAATAATGCCAAAAAAAATATTGAATGTCTTTGCAGGCATGAGACAAGTTCAGCACCCCACACTTTTGCCATCATCTTATAAATGTATATATATTCTCTCTTTCCCCTGACCTTAGAAAAATTAGATGTACTGCTCAGAAGATAGAACTGATTAATAAAAAAGATATAATTAAAGGAGTAGGAAAGAATTTATAACTTAAAAGTTAAAGATGCTGCTTTACTGAGTGAAGAAAGGAACAGACAGAGAGGATGTGGAAGCTTTTACATGTTATGCCTTCGTAAAAAAGACAGTACATTGTTTGAAAGGAAGTAATTAAACAGGCTGGATTTTGAGTGTGGGGCAAAGCAAATTTAACGAAATTGGATTCCTCCCATTCATATCATTACCTCTCCTCCTAAGCTCACATGAGGAAGCAATGATTCCACTACTGTAACTGTTGAGCATTTATTAGATATGTCTTTCTGGGGTCAGCTCAGCTCAACATATATATGCCTATATCTGGATTCAACATTTTTAATTCCTCCTTTTCTTTTTCAAATTATGAAATTAAGTATGAACAACATTGTATTCATCCATTCACTTCAATAGTTTTTTTAATAAAGTAATCATAGATTCATTAATAAAGAAATATAGTACATCAAATAAATCTATGATATCTTACCAAAAAAGTAACAAAAAAAAAAAAACACCTATGATGGGGCTCATATAAGCAAAGAAAATTAGAAATTACACAACAGATTATAGCCCTTAGATAGTCTAATAGAGGGCTTTAAAGCTATACCTACAGTACATCTATGGTAATAGACAATAAATAATTAAAAATAAGAAATCACCTAAAACTAAAGGATTACGAAAGTAATTGCTGTAAGAGCTCAAACCAGGGCTACAAAGTAGTTAGACAACCACTTTAGCCTTTCCCAACATTTAGAAGTCTCTCCACTATACCAACTTCAATTTCAGGGCAAAAAATTTAACCACCTCTATATTGTCTCCTTCTCCAACATTTAGAAGTCTCTCCAATATACCAGCTTCAATTTCAGGGCAAAAAAATTAACCACCTCTATTTTGTCTCCTTCTCTAACATGACAAAACTCAATAAAGATACCAAGAAAGCCTAGGCAAAGACCCCCAAAAGAAAGAAAAAGACTCTTTGAGAGAGAAAAACTCACAAAGAAAGAGGATTTCCCACATTTTGTTCATTCTCCCTAGTCATTGTGGGGGAGAGAGGATGTAACAGCTAGGGAGAAATGAAGAAGAAAAAAAGAGTGTGACAGCTATAAGAGAGTGGAGAACAAAGGCACTAACGCTAGGGTTTTTTGTCATTCACTTTAAAAGTTAAATATATATATGTTGATAAATAAATATCATCTTAATTAAAGGTAAAGTCTAAAATTCAAGCTCTCAAGTTAGGTTTTTTTTTTTTTTTTTTTTCACTAGCAAGTTGTCTAGTCAATACTTAACACACACACATATATATCATTTTCGTGAGTATATCACGGTATAGGGTGCCCTTGGCTTATGGGATCAACTCATGATCCATTTTAGCAAGTTGTGCGCATAGGAGGTGTTTGTCTTGTAACACAAGTTGCTAACATTATATATGCACACGCATGCATTTAAAAGATTATGCTGCTTTATACCTGTCACCATGTGATCATTAATGATTTCATACACATTATTCAACCATATATATACACATATGGATCATTGGCATTTTGATAACTAGATACATTCAAATCTTTTGGATGTCCTAACAATTATAGAGTTGGCAAAGCAATTTGATAGTTATATTAGGATCTCTTGATCAAATTCTATTTTTATCTAATAAGAATAGAAGGAATATTAATGAGAGGGTAACAAAAATTAGAAGAGTTGCTTCCAATTGTGTAACTAATTATGAGTTAGAAATAGAAAAGAAGAAGAATAATTTGAAGAAATGTTTATTGCTTTCTTGAATAATATTATATGTACAATGACCTATATATAGGTGTTTATAAAGAGAATATTTCAAGATATAAAATATATAAAAAGAATATTTTAAGGTATAAAATATTTACAAGAAGCGTGTTCACATCTTAACATTCCTCCTTAAACTCAAGGTGGTTGTTATGAAAGCAACTTAAGTTTGGAAAAAAGAGTATGAAAGTATCTAGGAAAATGAGCCTTGGTGAAAAGGTCGGCTGGTTGATTGATGGAGTCGATGAAAACTAAATGAATAGTTCTTTGTGCAAGATGATGGCGAACAAAGTAACAATCAACCTCAATGTGTTTAGTGCGTTCATGGAAAACATCATTATGAGTAATCTGTATGGCACTTTGATTATCACAATATAGATTAGTAGTAGGTGGTTAGGGATGTCAACGGGTCCCCGTGGGGCCGGGGATCCTCGCAAGAATTTTTGATGGGGGACAGATTTTGCCCCCCATCCCCGTTCCCCATCAATTAATATTAAAATACAAAATTTTTACATATAATTAATTAATATTCAATTATAATGAATAAAATTCTAAGATTTCAAGTACAATTAACTAAAATTCTTTAAATATAAAATCAAACATAAATTGTACAAATAAATAAAGATCAATTCAACATAAATAATTAAATCAACAAACTTGTTGATGATGGGTTGGGTTGGATAAAATTGGGTCAAATTTAATTTTTATTGGATTAGATTTGAGTTTGAAGATTGAATTAAATTTAAAATAAAATTAATTTACATAATTTTGCAATTTTTGCGTGAATGGGATCCCCGCGGAGCCCCGTGGTGCAGGGAAAATTCCTTGCAAAATTTTGCAGGGGGAAAATGCCCCCCATCCCCACCTCGCGGGGAGGAACCCATCCTTGTGGCGGGGATCAGGGCAAATTGCCATCCCTATAGGCAGTTGAGGAACACCCATATCTTCCAATAGCCAACATAAGTTAAGTAACTCTGATGTGGTGTCTTCAAGTGCTCGATATTCAACCTTTATGCTAGAACGTGATGGAATTTGCTTCTTACTATGCCAAGAGATTAAGAAATCACCCAGAAATAGACAATATCCAGTGGTGGATTTACGATTATTAAAGTCTCCAACCCAATTAGCATCTAAGTAAGCATGAAGTTCAAGAGATGAGCGAGCAGAAAAGTGAAGTCCATGAAACAATGTTCCTTTAATATAGCGAATAATGCAAAGTACTGTTGCATAATGAGTGGAGCAAGGAGCTGCCATAAACTAATTAACAATGTAAACTACATATGCTATGTCAGGGCATGTCATGGTAAGATAAACTGGACTACAAACCAATTACCAATAGCGAGTAGGATAAGAAAGTGGAAAGCTGTCCATAGGTGTAAGCTTGACATTAGGTTCAAAAGGTGTAGAAACACTTTTGCTATCACTGAGTTCAACTTTAGAGACAAGATCAGAGGCATAGTTTACTTGAGAAAGTGGGTAGCCATCATTTGAAGAGGTGACTTCAAGCCGAAGAAAATAATTTAGAACACCAAGATCTTTCATCTCAACTTTCTGACTGAGAGACTTTTAACTCCTCAACACCTGCGGTATCATCTCCAGTAACAATCATGTCATCAACAGTAAGAATCATGTCATCAATATAAAGAAGTAAAAGAACCATACCCCGAGCAGTCTTACAAATGAATAGAGCTATATCATATGGACTCGAAATAAAACCAAACTTACTCATAGTAGCACTAAACTTTGCATACCAGGCTCAAGGGGATTGTTTGAACCGATATAATGCACGTCATAATCGGCATACATTGTTTAGAGGACGGTTGAGCCCAGGAGGTTGTTTCATATAAACTTCTTCTTCTAGGTCACCATTAAGAAAAGCATTTTTCACATCCATCTAAAACAATTTTCATCTCCGTATAGCAGAGCACAAACTATGCACGATTTGAGACGAGCAACTGGAGCAAATATTTTCTCATAGTCTATTCCATACTCTTGTGTAAAACCCTCGGCAACCAAGCGTGCCTTATAATGCTCCACAAAACCATCAGATTGTGTTTTGATCTTGTACACCCATTTACAGCCTATTAGAGACTTTTCAGCAAAGAGATCAACTAAATCCTGTGTACGAGTGTTCTCAAGAGCTTGTAATTCATCTTGCATAGCTTTTTACCAAAAAGGGTTAATAGAGGCCTCTTGATATGATTGAGGCTCATGTAAATAAGTAATAGTAGGAAAACAATGATAATTGTGAAGGTTGCTAGGAAGGTTTCTTACTCGAGTAAGATGACTAGAGAATGGGACAACAAGCTCATTTGGAGACTCAACAATATCAAATGCAACATCAACAAGTGATATAGATGAGGAAGTAGAGAAAGGCTCAAAATTATCTAATGCATTACCAACAGGCAGATCAACTTCTGTAGAACTAGTTGGAGCATGTGGTGAGGCATTGTATAGCTCATCAAATGTAGCTACATTAGAATCACTAAGGAATAGCTCAACAGAAGGATTAGTAAAAAATGAAGGTTGATCAAAAGATGGCATTTGGAAGTTTGATAACGAGGAAAACATAATGTGTTCCCAAAAGACAACATGACATGAGACTTGAAGTTTTAGGCTCTAACTTGTTATGTTCATGTGGTGGAAGAAGAACAAAACAAGCACAACCAAAAACCTTAAGAAGATCATAAGCAGGAGGAATACCATGTAAACATTTATATGGGGACTTATTGTTGATCATTGAGGATGGGATCCGATTAATGAGATAAACAGTTGTAAGAGTAACTTCACCGCAAAATCGTTCTGGACAAGAGGATGAAATGAGTAGAGCACGAACAGAATCAAAGATATGTCTATGTTTGTGTTTGGCTCGCCCATTTTGTTTAGAAGTGTAAGGACAAGATTGTTGTGTCAGTGTACCCTGTTCTTTCAGAAAATATTGAAGTTTAGTACTAAGACATTTAGTGGCATTGTTAGTTCTCAAAACTTTGATAATTTTAAAGAGCCGAGTTTTGACCATGGTAGCAAAATCAATATAAATTTGTGGTAACTCAGAGCGATTTTTTATAAGATATATCCAGATAAAATGAGTATGCTCATCAATAAATAACACAAGGTACTTGGAAGCTCCCATGGTGGGTGTAGGAGATGGACCCCAAACATCAGAATGCAATATACCAAAATGAGCAGTAGAATGAGAATGACTACACGAAAAAGACAAAGCTGGCTACTTTGCAGATTGACATGATACATAATGAAAAGATTCATTCAGAACTAATCATAATAAACCACGAGAGATAAGTGAACGAAGTTTACCAACTAAGGTATGTTCAAGCCGTGAGTGCCATAAATGGAGAGGAGAAATGTTAGTAGCAACGTAGGCTTGCAAAATTTGTTGGTATGGAATTTGTAAAGACTCTAATTCAACAGCACAAAGCAAGGTTTGGATGAATTGATCATTTGGAAATGATGGTGTATCCATTTTATTATCAGGAATATGTAGGTAGTTGAACTCAAACAAATGCCCCACCTTGTGACTAATTCCAATAAGTTGTGCTATCCGTGGATCCTGCATACGACAACCATGAGCAGAATATGTTACTTCAAGACCAAGATCACATAACTGACCGATAGATAGAAGATTATAACTAAGTTTTGGAACTAAGAGGGCATTTGGTAAAGTCAATGACTTTGTAGAAATATTGCTAATGTGACTAGCATTCATAAGGGAACTATCAACAAAATAAATATCAAGAAATGAATTATTTGGTGACATTGAAGAGAAATGAGCAGTAATCGAAGACATAGGGTTACAACAACCAGAATCAAAATATCAAGGTTTGGTAGCTGAAGTAGTAGATAAGGCAGTAGGAGCATTAAAAAAATTTAATATCACATGTTTTAGGAATTCAAGGTTGACATTAGGTTGGTTTATCACTTCTTTGGCAACCATAGCAGTAGCAGGATGAGTCATAGTTCTTTCGAAACTTGCCATAAAATCAGAAAAACTCCAAATACTGAAAAACTTTTAAAAAAAATCAAAAAATAAATGCCAAGATCGAAATAACAAGCCAACAAAATACCTCAAAAAAAGCCAATGAATCAAGGATAAACAATATAATCTATAAAAGAAGAGATCTTAACGACAAAGTTTTAGATTTGGAATGGAATTGAAAATCCAACTCCAAACAACGATGATAAGAGAAAAGAATCAGAAGCTTATAGCTCTAATACCATGTTAGAAACAGAAAAGAAGAAAAATAATTTGAAAAAAGGTTTATTACTTTCTTAAATAATACTATATGTACAAGGAAAATGATGGGTGCATACCCGGATCCCACACTCGGGTGTGCACCCCCCATATAAACAAAAAAAAAAATGCACATCACCCGGTCCAACTTTTTTTTTTTTATGTGGGGGGTGCACACCCGGGTGTGGGATCCAGGGTGCACCAATCATGGTCCTATGTACAATAACATATATATATATATATATAAGTGTTTACAAAGGGAATATTCTAAGGTTTTAAATATATAAAGAGAATATTCTAATGTATAAAATACTTACAATAAGTGTGTTCATATCTTAAAAATTGAGAACAAGCTAAGTTTTTAAACTTTGTGGGTTGATTCAAATTCTCAATTATCATTTGATTAATTAGGAGCTTGCTAGGATGTGGTCCAAGGTACGTTGAACCCCTTTGACCTTCCCTATATCTTTGGAAAAAAGGCAAGTGGTCCTAACTTTTTCAATCAAAAGTACAGCTTGGTATGGTATAAAATATTTCTTCTATTTCTTATTGATTAGTTGTTCTCCCATGATATATATAATAATTTGCCATTGTCATTCTATATATGGAGATAGGGGCTGTTTCTCATAGCTTTTTTTGGGATTTGCTTATAAGCACACTATTGTATTTTTAAAATTTGAAAAATAAATTAAAGGAAAGGTGGATTTTTTAACAATAAAAGTACTTATAAAAAAGTCCTACAAAAAACAATGGCCCATTCTTAAACAACTAAATAGGATATTTGGAAAGATATTTTATAATTTGAATAAGGGTGTTTTGAAAGTTAATTTTATCAGATCTTAAGTATCAACTATTAACCATTAGTTGTTAGTTTTATTAGTTGCATATGAATAATTTTTTTTAGAAGCAAAATCAAATTTTAACTGTATTTAAACAATTAATATAAAAGGCACTAACATATTGAGATAAGTAATTAACCTCAACACATTTTTTAACCAAATATCTTATCTTCATAAAATTATAAATATTGTTGTGAAATGTATGTATACATGTCTCCATCACAAGAAAACAAATCCTTCTTAGGGTTCCTCTCCTGTATGTATCAAGGAATATTTGTTGCGTCTCTGCAAAAATTTCCTAATGATTATTGTTACTAACCCAAAAGAAAAATATCCAAAAGGAAGCAGAAAAACAGAACACACAACTGTTTGCAGCTAGTAATTAATAATCTGAGGGAAGTGCAATTTGGAACATAGGAGAGAAAGTTTTGTCTCTACATCTCAACATGATAATATCCATCTAATTTTTACAAAACAAAGAAAAAAAAAAAAAAGACAGGAATTTTAAACGGTAAGGAAACAGGCTACGTATGCAGCTCGGGAATCACTCCTGTAATATTGTTTTGAGGTAGAGACATGGATGGAGACATTCTGAAAAATTAACATGTAATATGTCAGGAATAAAGAGTGTGTCCAAATGAAGGTTGTTTTCAACGAGGCGCTCGAAAATCTCAGGGGCCATTGCTCATTGTCTTTGATTTGGGGTTACTGAGATGAGTTATGGCACCAAAATAATTTTTTGATTGGGGCAGATGGATCTAAATGTTTTGGATTCATATGATATAATAATTATTACATCTCTAATGTGGGTCTCAATTTAAACCAAAATTTGGTCCATGAGAAATGATGAGCCAAAAGGCCCACAAAAGGCTTCGTTGGGCTGTATCAAGCTCACTAGGTGACAGGACTATGAGTTAGAACTACAGAACAGAGCCCAAACTTAAACCCCTTAAACAACTAGATTAATTCCAAAGTTTGCCACTGCCATGTCTTATATGCTGATAATTTTTTTTATATAAGTTTCATGTATTATTAAATAAGTACATATATACATATCATGAGTTTAGTAAAGTAAATGACATATAAAATTATATAAAAAAGTTATATAAAAAGGTTATTTCTCATTCATTTTCCATATTTATCCCCTCTCCTCAACAAGACCCCATTCCCATAGTGTAATTAACCCCACAACTTTCCTGAAATGAAAAACACATTTAAGCCAAATACATCTATCCATATGTCTTGATTCTATCCTAAATACCAAAGTTTTAGTCACAAAATTTGATTTGAGGCCCTGCTGCTATCCCTAATCTGAATCAAATGTGGGCCCAAAACCCAAGTACCCGCCCCCCCAAAAACACCCATGTGTTTCCTCATTGTTTTAAAGGATCATCATGAATTACTCATGATTCTTTTAAAGCGAACCTAACCCAGCAAGTTTGGATATGAGGGTATATGGGGGGTGTACTATACATCAAAATGGGCAGAGAGATATCTGTTATGTCAAAAACAAAATTTTTTTTTGAATAATTTGACATTGGGTGAAATTGAACCCGTTTAAAAAAGAATAATGCATCTATTCAATGTGGTTAATATCACTAGAGTCGAAAAGTCAAATGCTTACCATGTCAAAACTTGATTAATATCAAATAACAAACAATGGATAAGGAGACTTGAAATGATAAATCATCCTCTTTTCCTTATCCTTTAAAAGGGGTTAAACATCTGATCTTTCATGAAATCAAAGCATCATGCTTCATGCATAACGGCTGCATCAATTTGTTGCCCTTTGAACCTTATGCAGTGACGCTCTACCTCAATTTTGTACCCCACAAGTTTTCTTTGGTATATAAACCTGATCATGATCAAAGTAAGATCAGGTTTATCCTTGGAATTAAAGTTATGGATAGAATTGAGGCCCCGGATTTGCTGAATCTAAAGAATTCTTACACATCCTTATGACTTGTCAAATGAATTTATTATGTTGTTATGTCGTAATCCATTGAAAAGTCAACTTGATCTCCTCGAGATCGAAGTAGGAAGTGTGTAACTGAACCGAAAGTTGGTTGCTAGGGAAATGATTATCCAAATTCTACGTGCATCGCAATGGAACCGACTCATAGGGAATCCCAAAAATTATTTCAGCGTTTCCTGGTTCAACCCCCATCAAACAATTTTCTTTACTTTATTGCTTTAATAATTTTCTTTTTTGACCAGAAAACGAGCTTTAATTTTTTTTGGTTCTTCAGAGACCATAAAACCCAATCTAAGTAAATTAAAATTTATTCTTACATCATATTAAAACCCCAAAAGATCTTAATTGTCAATCTTGTATCTTATTTTAGTCAAATAGTATTGTAAATCTATTTAGGTGTATCAATTTAAATATAAACCTCTCTTTATATAGTTAAAAACAACTCATCGATTGAAGAACTGTGATTAAGAAATTATGGACCATAGGTCCACAGGACTTATATATATATATACACACACACGCAAAAGTGGATATTTAGTCAAGAGGTTTTGGTGGCTGGGCTGGGACAGGAGGGGTTGAACTCGAACCCATTAATTACAGCCAGGGCAGGAGGTGGTTACTTG